AATTTAAAGTTAAGTAACGAAACGTAACGTAGGTTAGGTAGGTAAAGTTAAGTTTATTAGTTTTAGTTAGTATCTTAGTAGTTAGTTTGTTATATATATATATATATATATATATATATATATATATACACACACACACACACACTAATTCTATGTGACTACAAACGACATTCATTATTTTTATCCCTTCAAAATGATTGTTTTTTTATACACCAGGACTCATGTTACCAAGTTCATATGGTTGCATTGATTAGCAGCCAGATTAAATGTTTTCACTTATCTAGAAACAAAAACAAACGTTTTGCATAATACACCAAGAGTACTGATATTTAAAATTCTTTCTTTGCAAAATTATCTACACCTCTACAGACCATCAAGTTTTTAAATAGATATTTCTTATTTTTTAATGGTTTCTGGTGCAACTCAGACCAACATAATATTTTACTTAACTCTGAAACTTTCAAAATTATGAATTCATCTTTTTAGTATAATTCTAGGTCTAATTTAGTTACGATACATTCATGAAAAATATTCACAAACAATAGTACATTTGGAACTTGAATTTTCATTCAAAATAATAATTTTCAATAAATCCTACACTATGCATAAAATCATCAAAGTTATTCTAAAGTTTCACGATGAGTCAATTTATGGTTTCTGTTAGTAAAAGACACATCACAATACTCCACTGATTGTTTTATTATGTTTAAGCACAATTTTCAAGAAGCTGAACATTGAAATGATATGTACTACTAAATTATTTTTCTGTTATTCTCAAGCAAAGTAAAATTATTTGCAAATATTTACTCAGTTTTCTTTTTGTTTTAGGCTGACACAAATGTTTATTTTAATTTAGTTGTGCTGTAAATAACTTCACATCATTTGTCTATGGTATGGGGATTATGAAGTACCTTTTTAACTCAACTTCAAAAGTTCACAGTGGCTACACAAGATGTACAAATATTGTTAAGCAGTCAGCTTTTCATACCCTCTTTCTATACAGCTAATTTACTGCTGCTTTTTCTTCATTCCAATACCAACACCACTTGTTTTTCACATCTTTATTTATTAGCTGAGTATCATCTCTGTGGTTCAAGAATAGTTGTATAATCACACTTCATTACTTCAACAAACTTACAAGTACAGGCAGATCTAGACTAACCATCTGACAGTCAGTGAAAATTTAAATATTAAAGAGATCAGCACATCATTATCATTTTGGCATTTATCATCTCCATGATTCAAGAATATTGTCATGTCAACGCAGTAAAAGTTTAAGTAGAGACCTGTATAGGCTAACAAACAGCAACACAGTCAATGAAAATCTTGATAAGGAAGACCTCAATATAAGACTAAGGAGAAATGCTAATTACTTTTGCCATCTAGTAACCAAATATAAAAGTAAACAAAATGGTTTAACATCCCCGATATGTATCTTCACATCAAGCCACAACCGTAATATTTTTCCACTGTTTACAAAAAAAGAACTAAGACAGAAAATTCCCACCCCTGAGTCAGAGTAAGAAGAAGTATGCTAAAATAAAGGGACGACCAAAAACAAAAAAAATTAATTTTAAGGACTGTTTTGTTGAATTAGATTTCCATTAACAAACTTTTATCTAATTATTTATAATTGGTACTAAGCAGCTTTGACGAAGAAATTAATAAACAAGAATAAACTGTATTTTGAGAATTTGCCCAAACAAAACCTTGAGGAATTCTGGCCAGTATTTGTTTCCAGCATCATCCAGAAAACATGAAATTTAAATGCAAGATAGAAAAACATGTTCCATATATAACTAAAATATAGACTCTTGATTTCATAAGTTATAAATCTCAAATTCTTTCCATTAATCATTTATCCACACAGAAAAAAGCCAGAGGACAAGAGTAGTTGATATGGAACACATTCCCTAACTCCACTTTTAGCCCCAGGACAACATATTACACATTAAGAAGCTGAAAACATGACCAATTTAACAAACACCAATCAATAAAATGTTACTTTATATTCTATTTTGCAAATTTTGGGAATGGCATTATATCTTTTAATCAAATGAAAACTTACGTAAACATCTGTAATGATGCTTCCTTATAAACTGTATTTTGGGAACTTGCACAATCAAACAAAAACTTGAGAAATTCTGGCCAGTGGTTGTTTCCATCTTCATCTGGAAAATTAAATACAAGATGGAAAAACATATTCCATGTACAATTAAAATACAGACTTTTGTTTTCATAAATTATAGATCTCAAATTCTTTCCATTAATTGTTCCTCCACATAGAAAAACTTTTTTAGCTATGATTATATGATTTAATCAGGGGGGAAAAAGTTAACTTTTTCCAAAATTGAAAATGTATTTCCAATAATATTTACGTCCTCTCAAACTTATAGCTATTACTCGACTGCCAGGATTTCTTTCTTTGCCCATCTAAAGCATTGGTCTGATTTTTTCTCGCTTGCAATATTTATCTCGTGATACTCTCAACCTACATCAGTACGCCTTCTATCCTGGTACTGTATATAAGCACCTTATTCAGATAATGTTATTAATTTGTTTCAAGAATGACTCCATCCCAGTCACTAACACTGGCTCTTAGTGGGGAGGAGGTAAGTATTATTGGTAATACATTTTCAATTTAGGAAAATGTTAATTTCCAAAACATACACACCTCCACTCCCACTTATAGCTAGAATCCTACATTGAGAAGGTGGAGGGGCCAGTGAGGGAATTATCCATACAGAAAGCATCTGCATAGATCACGAGTGTGTCAACAGAAGATTGGCATGAGCTACATCAAGAACAGGTATGCTCTTCAGTCTGAACTTAATTCCTGCATTGTGGATGAAACTGTATAAGTAATTGGACAGCAACATTATATATATATATATATATATATATACACACACACACACACACACACACACACAC